AGATAGTGGCTCTGTTATTACATGAGGTTGTTATTCACGCGATGTTGCCGGCGCTGCGGGTCTGGCACGTCGGGGGCAGCCAAGCGAGTGGAGCCCAGAAGAAAATCATCCAGCGCCCGAACGGGGGGCAGCCGCACCTCGGACATCTTCGCTCGCTTGGGGCGGGAAGAACTACCGTCCCCATAATGCATCGCAGCGGTAGACCTGCCAGCAGGAAGATGTGGAAACTGGAGTCCGGCGGCCGCGGCGGCGGCGGAGGAGGAGGGTGTCGCCTTTAGCGGCCTCTGGAGTTGCTTTCTTTTCCTCGGCTTCTGTAACCCAGAAGTTTTATTGCTTCATAGTAACAAAAAGGATACGGCTCCTCTAAGGAAACCGTGGGACTTCTGCAAAGGCCTATAGGCAACGACAGGGGCTACTTATTGACACAATAGACTAAGCTACCTAAAAAGTCCGGAGTGGCTTTTGAAAGAAATTGGGATCCTTTTAATAGAAATGAAAGAAAAATGAGATGGCTTCTGTTGCTTCCTCTGCTATATTATCTTAAATATTAGGTATTGTAGAATGTATGGATTGGAAGAGATTTTGGAAATTGGTGACTCCAACCCCTTGCCAGATGCAAAATCCATTATTACCGCATCCCCATGAGGTGGCCATCCAGCTTCTATTTCAGTGCCTCCAGTAAAGCAAAGTCCGCCATTTCCTGATGGTCTGTTCCACTATTGGGTGCCATTAGGATTTTTCTGATTTTAAATCAAAACCTACTTGTTATTTAAACACACAGTTTCTTGTCCTGTTTTTTGGAACAAGTCTAAAAACCTCGCCTTTTCTACTTGACAGCGTTTCAGATACACGGAGACAGCCATTGTTTCTCTCCTCTCCATTGTCTTCTCTTTTCCAGCTAAGTGCCTCCAGTTGTCCTTCACAGCTTTTCCTTCCAGGCCTCATATCATCTTGATTGCTTTCGTCTGGACATGCTTCAGTTTGTCAATCTTCTTCCTAAAATGCAGGGTCCAGAACTGGACATAAGTTTCTAGGTGTGCTCTGACCAATGCACAATAGAAAAGATGGCGGCTTGTTTCTCTTGATCCTGACGCTGTTCTTCGGTTGATGAAGCCTAGAACTGGATTTGCTGGGGGTTTTTGCCCCAGCTGCACCACAGCTACCTCTAGCTGAACTTGTGATCCACCAAGACCCCCCAGATCCTTTTTTGCATGTGCTGCTGCCCAGTATGGTCCTCCATCTTATACTCATACCTTTGATTTTTGCTATTCCAAATGTAAGCCTTTGCATTTGTCCCTGTTGAAATTCACCTTGTTGGTTTCCGCCTAATGTTCCAGCTTTTCGAGATTCTCCTGAATCTTGATGCTGTCTGCTAAGGTGTTGGTTCTCCTCTCTTTATGCCATCCACAGACCCTTGAGGGAAGGGAACAGGCATGAGAGAGAAACAACAGGCCAGGAACTAAATAGATGACAATGCTGGAATTGGAAGCACGTGTTTTCCCATTTCATCACTGCAGTCCCATTCCTGCCTGGTCCCTCTCCTCCCAGAAACATCATGCCATTTGTAAGGGGCTCAAGTTTAGCTTATATTGGAACCTGATCATGTCAACAATCACTCTCAGCTCCCATTATTTCTTACAGAGATTCTTGTTCTTTCCCCCCCCCCCCCGACAATTACTCTCCTACAGGTATGGCATCAAACCATAGGACAGTTTTAATGTAGCGTGATGTGCAAATGCATCCGAAGTTCTACGTCCCTCCAGTGCTAGGTCTTTACCTCTTTAGCCAGCGACCCTTTGAGACAATGAACAATGCGGTAAGATTTCTAGCGATGTAACAGAAATGAATTTTAAAAATATACAAATAAAATGCTATGTTTTTTTGTAAAAAATGAAAAAGTCCGAAATCTCACCAGATCTCATTGGTTCTTACTCTTACAAAAATTCTCATAAGACAACATAGAACTCAGGAGATTTGGTGATCTCAAGAGATTCTGGCCACTATTTAGCAATGAGAATGGGGGGGCATCCTCAATGGTAGTTATGGGTACTATACTGTCTTCGGATAAATAAATACAACAGTATTTTTATATAGAAAGATCAGAAAGAAGGCAGCACTGAAAACAATTAGTAGAAAAGGGAAATAATTTAAAGCCACACAATTCACATGATGTATGAATGTTACCAGATTGTACGGTTCTGGTACTACAGAACTACAGGAAGAGAAGGAGCAAAAAATCTGTGGAATTGACTTTTCTGCTCTTGATCTTCCTGCTCTTACAGAAGTAGTAAGGAAGGAGTCTAGTCCACTCTAGCCATTTTTCTCCATGAGGATGGGTTGCTATCTGTCCTTCCCCAATGGATTACATAAAGAATGACACTTTCCACATACGCATAGACAAACAATTATTATGATTTCACATCAGAATTTCAGTTCTTCAGACTGTCCTCCACCCTTTATCGATCACAGAATGTCAATTAAACAACATAAACATCTGTTCTTGATTTTTAATGATAATTCTGCCGTTCCCTACTCCCCAGATGCTCATCAACATCGGGCAGCATCCAGACATGTACCTCCTGAGGTTCCAAGATATAGGAGGGACAGAGTTCTGACAAGTTCTTGCTCCCAAAATTCAACCGTCTGTGTGTATTTCTCAGTCCCACACGAATAGGACAGTTGAACTAAAGCAGCAGTAAGAACAGCACTTCTGGAAAGGTGGCATCAAGAAATAAAGAATCCAGCTGTTCTCAAGAATTCACCCCATCCTACACCAACATCCTGCAGGGTTTTTTCAGCCTTTCCCATCTCAACACTCATTCTTGGCTAAAAACCTTCATATTATATCTAATGATGGTCTTCTGCCAGCAGAATACCCACCCCCTGCAGCTTCCCCCCACACCTCCAAATTTGTTACGGAATATCAGGGAACCTTCTGGAGCATATGGGGGCACAGATGGAGGGGAAAGGAAACTCCTGTTGCTGCTTGCATAACGCTCGATTTCAATGCTTCAGCCTCACACGCTTTTGCCTGAACAAAGGGAGCAAAGCTACATTCAAAAGTCATCATCGTCGCATATATCCAAGTAGACATCAAAGGCCTCACGGTTGCAGTTTCCATCAGGAGTGAAGACATACTTATGGAAAGTACCATCCACACAGATAGCTGTAAGATTAGGAAACAGAACTGAATGTGGGTGAGAGACCAAGAATGGGATTCATGAGAATTCAATACATGAAGAGATCCTATGGCAGAAAATTTAAAATGATGCCACCAATGAATATAAGGAAAAACCAAAACAGGAAAGTGGGGAGGGGGTCTTTAACAGCATCTGGCATGTACCACCTAAAGCAGATTGCTTCATCATACTCAATGGCAGCACTGGCCCTGGGTCATGTATCTGACCCATGGATATACTTCAAGAGGCCCAACACATCTACTGCCTGTCATCAACACCACTCACCAATGACTGAGTTGACGTTCTTGGAAGTGTTCCTCCCAAATGCGCAGATGCAGGCAGACTCTGCTGGCACAGTAAAGCTGGCCAAGCTCCACTGAGAATCCACATACTGACCTATCATAGGCCCAACCTTTCCCACACGGGCCAATCTGCAACAGAACAGAAGAAAGAATGGGATTAAGGCATTACCAATTACCATCTTTTCCCATTCATAGCACCATCCTCCCTGCCCCCACTACATACGCTGAACGGCGGTTTAATCGGGTATCTTTCAGGGCAAAGATATGGACAGTTCCTTTGTCACTGGATGCACAGAGAAATGAAGAGTCATGGCTGAAGTTAATGCTGTAGGGAAGAAAGGAGTTTCATCTGACAATTCAAAGTTTGGAATGATTGTGTCTCTGTAATAGTAAATGCCCTGTATTCAGCAGTCTGTATGCTACTCCTAAATAGGAGTAAAATATCCCTTGACTCTGAGCCACCCTTTTCCAGAAATGTTGGGAATGCAACTCCCATAATTCCTAGCCTGCGTGGTTAGGGACTAGGAGTTATGGGCATTATTTATTACAGTAATACCCCACCACAATCAATTCAACCCTTGGTAGCTTACATAGTAGAAAACAAAACATCCACAAAACATAAAACAAATCTTTGTAACAGTGAAATAAGAACAAAACAAATGAAACAAAAGTTGGCCCCAAACAGTTTAAAATGATCTTGTGAACAGTTCTGTCTTCAACATCTTCCAGAACGTACTTGTAGTCCCAATCCAGGCTGAGCTAAATTGATCCGTATTAGGAATTCAGCAATTTCTAAGACTGTTAGGTTATTGCAGACTCCGCATCGTTGGGCCTCTGAGAGCACAACCAAGCCTTGAATAGGACCATCTCACTGACACCCAGAAACCGTAAGAAAAGGCCTACTGCAATGGGCCAAGAGCATGCTCATTTTACCAGCATCCAGGAAGAAACCTCTGAGTACACATTAACAAGAAATGGGAATGACACCTGTTTTGTAGGGTTGTTAAATTTGGAACAAGCCCCTTAGATGCTATCCTAGCAGATTATACACTCCATGCTTTGCTTGCTTGCTTGCTTGCTTGACTTGCTACACCATGTTACTGGTATAGGAGCAGCCCAGGTTCCCTCATATCTTTGCAAACTACTGGAGATCCACTGCTTTTCAGCTAGCAGAACAAACCAGTCTCTGTAACAAAGACTTTGTGATCCTGTAGTATTTGCACTTCCAGTAATAGTGCATTGATTGATTGATTGATTGGCTTTGATCTGCATGGCCCTTCCACATGACAAATGACTCTGGGTGGTAAGCTTAAAACAATGGCAAAAACAGCAAAACTGAAACACAACATGCCTGGGGCAGCACACATATCCACATAATAAACTTCTAAAAAGAGGCTCACCTAACTTCCTGCCCAGTACCCAGGGAAAAGACACATTTTGAAGTTTAAGAAGCAGGAAAGGTTTGTAACTTGAGTTGGAAGCTTTTTGTTTATTTCTCAAGGTACAAAATCAAACCAACCAGAACAGTGATTTCTATAAGAGTGGGGTTTGATCTGATCTCACCGTCTCAATTCAGAACTACCCTCAGATGTTAACAAGATTCATCCTAATTGTTTGGTGCCATTATCTGCCTCCGCTACAATCCGCTTGCGAGGTTTGCCTCTGTTAGGAATCTCACCATAGTACCTCATGAATCAGGGCCTGGCTTTTCCCCAGGAAGTGGCATTAACAAGACTATCAGCTTCTCACCCCAAGACCTGTAAATAATTCAACAATGCAGTTCATTCCTCTATCTATCCTCTCATTCACTTATCTCCAGCAGCTGTGACCAACAGAATACTATTTATTTCTCTACAGCAGGCCTGAACCACATGCCTGCCAATGTTTTTTTAAAAAGTAGTAAATTTACAGCTGCTGCCACTGCCCCCAAAAACATGCCGCTGAGTGCTTCCAAGCCTCACCACTTCAGTGCTTCAGCTTCAGTGCTTCTGCCGCTCCACTAGCAGCGGAATAGCTGATCAGCACTCCAGGTATTTCTTTGCGGTCCACAAGGATTTTTAATTTATCAATGTGGCCCTTTCCTCTTGATGAGTGGTACAAGCCTGCTCTACCAAGGGAAGGGTGGGGAGTTTAAGCAAGAGTTCAATGGAGGAATGGAATCTGATGGGCAATGCAGCCTTCCTCATGAGGGAGGACCTGTGTGAAGTGGGGACGGAGGGAATTCTCACCAATACAAAGTTGCTGGATCAGTCCCTCTCCTGAGCTCCACTAGCTTCTCCTTGGTCTGTGTGTCAAAGAGGCGGATCAGGGTCCCTTTCTTGGAGGCAGAGGCCACAACAGTGCCCTGCTGGTTGAGGGAGATACAGGCAATCTCGCTCTGATGGGCATTGATGGTGAATGGGGCAGATGAGGTCCCAGGCTTGGTGCTGGAAAGATCCTAAGGTGAGGAACAATCATAATTAAGAATAAACAAGATTTGATTCTGACTCCAACAGAATGTTTCCTGTTCATGGATTGCAAAAACACACTACATGCTTGCATATTCAGTCCAATGCAGTCCATTACCTCCCTTCACCAGCCATAATTCATGCGCAAGCCAGAATTAGAAAAGCAAGCTTTGAAGGTGGGTCTGATTCTGGTTTGCAGCAAATCACTGCTTACCAATTTAGGAATTTAAAGTCAAACTACATGAAAAGAGTCGTTTCAACGAGATAGGCGGTGACAAATTTGATATATAAAATATATATAAACAAAAGAAGGAGGAGGAGGCCCAAGCAAGACAGAGACTTAGGCATAAACACCTGAATTATAGTTTGCTTATTATTTGTAACTGTATGTCTAAGGCACCAATGGAATAAATTATATATTAGAAACATAAAATAATACAATATCAGAATCTAAAAGCACAACAGTAAAAACAATATAAAAAACTTAAAAACAAAGCTGGTAAAATACAAGCAAATGTGGAAGGAAGTAAAAAGTAAAGAATCCCCTGAGTTGAGCTTAGCTCTTGGTGCCTACATAGGCATATCCATGTTTCTTTCTTGCTAGTATGGGAATTAAATCCGTACTAAAATCAGAACTAATACCACCAACATACAAAAAGAATTGAAATAACAAACATTTCAAAAGCCTGGAAGAACAATCAAGTCTTAACCTGGCAATGGGATGAAAACAAAGTATGATCCAAATCTTTGGCAAGTTCTAACCTTTCTCACGCAGAATGAGAAAGACCTGTCTTATACTCAAGGTGATCGGCAAGCTGAGACTAGCCATTAAACGTATGGGAAAGGCTACCTCCTGGGCGACTCAAGCTTCTTTTTGTTTTTACCGAAAGCTACAAGAATACTGCAAGGACAGGCCTAATAATGAAGGACAGGCTTAGGGGAGCTGCAGAACCTTGTCTGAGTGTGTGTACTACAATCCTGGCTCTGGAATAAACAAGACTGAGCCATTCCCCAACACTAAGAGATGTTAGTGTTATATACAATAAATTAACAAAGAGGACTCGTTTGATTGGTATATGCAGGTTACTTTTTATGATAGCACAAGATTCTGAAGTATTTTAGAATCAAATGTGCACAACCCTGTTTATGACCTGCCTATGAAGAAATATTGTCATTCTCACTATCTTACATGAGATGAAATTGATTTGAAATTGAAAATATTCCCTTTGATACTGGGTGTGGTAAGATTTGTTTATAGGTACCATAACATACTGGCATTCCTTTAGTGGTCCTGACCAAGGAAGGAATTTACTAGGATTTGCTCATGTCTATCCCCTCATCCCACCATATAACACTCACCACAAGCTGTAAGCTGCCACATTTATGCCCAGGGAAAACCAGGAGTTGCTTTTCTAAACTGGGACAGAGATCACAAAGCCCTGAGGTGAGAGATAGACAAAAAAAGAGAGAGGCATCTGTCAGAGTTGATTCTTGTGATGGAGTTGTAGTTCCTTCATTTATATATGTGAAGGAAAACAGGAGTGAAATGAGGGAGTCACTGCATGAGCAAGCAGAGGTTCATTTTACCTTTGGGGTTATCCCTGGTGTCAAACTCAAAGAGCTTAGTGGGGTTGTCGGGGAAGGAATACACATAGATTCGATTCCGCAGCACAATTATTATTCTGCAAAGATAATACAGGGACATACAGTTATAATACAAGAATAGTAAGAAATATTGCTGCATTGACTAGGTTGCAGCATAGGCCACTGTATATGTTCTATATGTTTACAAACTTATATTTGTTTCCAGCTACTGGACCAATATGAAAATCCTTGATCCAAGAGTATAAACTGATACACGTTCTGCCAGATATAATTTCAAAAATCTAAAATTTCTAATTACTTTTTTCTAATATAGTATAAAACAGCTTTCACATCTTTAACTAGCAGGGAGAAAATCATTTAAACAAGCCACATTCCTACTCTCCACGGTTGCAATGAAAATAATGAACAAGTTTCAGGCAATCTTCAGGAATTAAATATCTGTGCTTCAAGTACCTACATTCTCATTAACTTACTTGGTCAGGATCTTCTGCCCATGCACTACTGCTACCCCTCATTTCCTATTTTTAAACAAAAGCTGACACCGTTTTAAAATTTTAACCAAAAATTAAACTATTACTGTATGGGAAAAGATGCCATGAAATTGATCTTTCTATTTCAATTGCTATCCAAAAAAGGGGAAATACTTATTGTGACAAGAGATATATATTGTGACAATCAAATTCAGATAAGCAGAAGGATATAGCACCCCACCCATGTTCTGGACCCAGGAGAAACAGAATGAACGCCAAACATACTTGTCATGCCTCATGCGAACAGCCAATGCTGGTTTGGTGAAGGTGAACTCCAACACCAGTTTGTCTTTGCCTTCCTTCCCTTCACGGGAATCATCCCAGATCAAGACTACAATGGAAGCATTAGGATACAGAAGTCACAGATCAACAAGGTCATAGAGAAACAGGGAGAAGATGACCTGTCCCTGTTAAGAGATAATGAGCGATCATATTTGCTTCTGTCTGTATCACTGATATAGCTGAAGTTTACAACTCATGACTTCTTTGCTTTGATCCCACTTCTTCCCTGGAGAATACCCACCTGAGATCTCAGAGAATTTGGGGTTGCCACCTCCTCCTACAATAGCAAGGAGATTAGATCTGTGTAGCATTTCAACCAGTCCCACGCTGCCCACCTGTTCGTGATCTAGTAAAAGGAGATTAACAAGAAGTGCTATTATAGGACTCACTAGACAGAAGTACTGTAGAGATATTCTACAGTCCTACATTTTCAGCCCTCTTTGCTCCTTACCGAGGTGCCCCTTCTCCATTAGAGGTTCCACATTATAGATCCGAACACCCGTCTCCATAGCACAGCAGAAGCAGCCTATTATGAGAGAGCGTAGAACAAATGTGTGGTATATAGGGAACATCATGACCCACTTGAGCCAAAATAAAGATTGTAATCTACTACTGACATTAGCCCGGCAGCCTAATAATATCTGAAATAAAAAGTACATTCCTAGCAATTAGGAAGCCTATTTCCATCAACAAGAAGGCTACCTTCAGATGTAGAGGTTACAGATCACCTTATGATCTGAAAATATCTCAAAGTTTTGTTTTTGAAGGACCTATGACTCTCAGGTCACAACTCCTTAATAAGAGTGCTAGATCTCCTGAGGAGCATATTCAGTAGAATTAGGTAACTTACTCTGATCTTGATTGAAGCGCAAGCTATTGACCCCACGTTGCTGTGCCATATGAGCTTGATGGGACCGCCTCAGCTGAGGCAGGCACACCGTGTTCTTGGTTCTTTTCTCTGTTACCCAATAAGGTAGCCATCACGGTGCAGAAAGACAAAATCAACACACAGATATGATGCCAGCGGAAGACCAAACAGCCCTGATGACATTTTTCAGCAGGTCCTGAGAACATGCTAGCTTTCCTATATATTTTGTCATGTTGGCTGAAGAGACCACACCGTGTGGGCACTGGGTTGCCAAAGGCTGCTTCTGTCACTCCTATCTGTCTCCGCTTAAGAACTTCTATCTCTGTTCAGTTGTTTCAGACTATCCTCAATTCCTTCACTTACCAACCCATTTGCCACTCTTTCTTCTTGGGTTGACTCCGGTGTTTGTTCTCAGGACCTCCTCTTACTCTCTGCAGCCCACCCGCTCTAAAACGATCCACTTTCCTAACAGGGACCTGGTCATATCAATCCCATAGTTACAACCGCTGGGTTCCTCCCATCCTTTCTCTTCCCATACAAGCGCTCATACTCGCACGGTCTTTTCGAACAAGATGCCCCCGCTTCCCACCTCGGCAAGGCTGCAGCCACCCCGTCCTCCCCTCCCCAAATCCTTCACACCCCTCAACTCAGTCTGCCTTAATAACAGAGATCCAGGAACCTGCCACTTTGGTGTCTTTCCTAACCATCTGAAAAGGCCCCCCCACCCGTTTGCTCCCCCACTTTTCCTCCCTCTGCTTCACCTGCAAGACTCCTCGCCTTTCCCCACTTTATTTACATCGGCATCAGCACTCCGAGTGGTAAACAACAGCAAACACCCAAACTACTTCCGTCAGACCACAGAGACAAGGCACAGAGCGCTCACGTAATCTAGGAAGCACTAAAGTCTCGACGGCCATGTCGGAAACTGGCAGGGAGCCGTGAGCTGTGAACACCCAGGATTCTCCTCCTTGCTGCGGGGGAAACGGCCGGGCCTGTTTCCAAGGCGGCCATTTTTGAAACTGGTAAGGCAAGCCCTTTAGTCGTTCTATTGTGGGAGTTGAGCGGGACTAATGATAAAATATGATGACGTTTGTAAAGAGCCTAAACGTTTAAGCAGTTAAAACACAAAGCAGCAGCGCTGGTCCCAAGAATCATAACATAAAATAAAATAAAAAAAAAAGGCATGGATAAGGAAGAGGAAAGCAGCTGCTGCTTCACTGGCTAATGAAAAGATCTGATTTGTCTTCCCTTGCCCTGACGGATTTAGGAAAGTTCTCTGGGCCAGGGACAAAGGCCAAACTGCACCCTCCTTCTACCTCTCCAGTCCTAGAACAACTGGCGGTTGGAGCCAGTTTGTCACCCAGGCTAGATACTTTGGGACCCGTGATCTTAATCATCCTTGAACTGCTCAAAACTTAGGAGAATCCCACACACACATTAATTCAGTGGAACCCCTGCATTCAGGAATAAATACTGCTGGAGGCCCCAAATAAATATAACTTCCCTTTAGGCTTATTTGCATTTTTTTAAGAGCAGAGAACCTATAGTCCTCCGAAGATGTGGGCAAGGAGAGAGAAGCATTTCTTCCATTTCTACACCAGAGTAAAGAACTAAGGTTCTTCGACAATATTGGAGACCTTTTTCCTTCTCAATGGCTTCCTCCTATTCTTCAATTGTTTGCATATGTTTTTGTAAGTTTCAAGATAAGACAGTAGAAGACAGTAAAACCCAAGAGTGTTAAGTTGCTACAATACTGTCAAGTAAATTGAATTAAAACCATATGCTTTGGAAATTAAAGATCATCCTAGACACAGCAGCTTACTGATCGTAGTGGTAGTAACAAACATACAAAGAATAGGAAAAATATGGGCTTTACTTACTATCAGTGAAATCCAAGAAAGTTAAGTTACACACAGTAATTGGGGCTGTATTCATTTTTACAGAGGCAGCAGGAAAAATAGACAGTAACTTTACATGCCACTTTGAGAGGGAAATTTACACAAGATCTTACTCATTGTTAGCATAATCAGACACCCCCAAAAGATGACTCATCTGTGTTCACTTCTGATGCTTATTTACGTTTAGGTCTATCATGAAAACACACACCCCGGGACGATTTAAGATGAGTGTTATGGCCTTCTTTCAAGAATGTCTTGTGATTTTGTCTGTTTCTTCCGACAAAAGAACTTTTGCACAAACTTCTGTATAGTGTGGCAATTCTCTTTTCTGCCCACTAACTGCTTCAAGATTTTGTCCCGAGCACACAGAAGTGAACATAAGTTCATTTAAAAAAAAAAAAGACCATCCTGAAAAAAATCAGGAAAAATACATTGGTTCTAGGTTCCATCCTTGAATGCTTACAGAATTTTAGTTTATGAGAAAGTTATTTTTTACATACATTTTACCAGACTTCATCCCAAATTTTTAACAGGTGACACAAATTGCAATAGCTATTCTCTAGCACAGAACCCAGAGATTAAAACTCCACACCTCAAAGAATAATTTATAATGGAAGCCCATGGACTATTAGTTCTAAATCAGAAAGATACAGACTCTTTTTGTACTAGGGGTGGCTTAATTTTTACTCCTCTAGATCCAGAGTTGACCAGCAACTGGTTGATTATGCCACATAGTGCCTTTACTAGACAGCTCTTGCCTTTGGCAGTTCTGGAGCACCATCATTGGTTCAGAGATCTGTACATGTCCCTAGCAGAAAGTAACTGCACATCTAACTTTCATTAGAAAAAAAAACAGCCGAATAATTCTGAATTTGAATCATGGATTGCTGTGCATATGGAGGTCGCCAGCAGTGTCCTGTGTCATGCTTAATACTTCCAACACCACTCCACTAAGATGTCACATTATGGGCTGGACTCTTTTATCTTGAGCCTCAGAAGAGATTTCCTCTGTTCTGCAGATGTTCTCTCCTGAGGAGCTGCGGACCTCAATCATCCTCCAAGCTACCAACGTAGTGACAGATAGCATCATAATCCAGGGTCAGAAGCTTTTCTTCATCCTGCTGCAGTTGCACCACTGCACGACTCTGTTCCTTGTCTCGACGCAGAATGCGGCCCATCTAATTTAAGAGAGAAAGAGTATTAATGAGACTGCATTTCTTTCCCTGAAGAAAATAATGCATCTGAGAATACCAAGAGTAAGCAAGCTGTGGAGCTCCAGATATTGCGGTATTCCAGCAATCAACAACCATTACAAGTAGTGGGCACCACTACTCAATTTCAAAATTTGCCAAAAGAAAATAAAAATGTCCAAAACCTTATAAAATCTGTATTCTCACATGAAGTTCTGGGCATTTTAATTTGTAATTTTTTTTAAAAAAATACCATATAGTGGAAGTAAATGGGGTTTTTTATGGTATTGTGAGCAATATGTGCCTGTAGCCATTGCACTGTTGAGCTTCACTATTTTCCAACTACTAGCTGCCTAAATCTGCATGATAAATATTATAGGATGATGTAAGACGTAATTCAACATCTTGACCACAGCGAGAGCGAGACTAACTGCACCTTGGATCACCTGCATCTGAAATAACGATTTGTTCTCATATCTGCAACTAACCACTGGGAGTCAGGTGGCATACAAGTTTAATAATGAATATAAATAAACAAACAAACAAACAAACAAATAATCCCATGCCTCTGTAGCATGAAATTCAACAGTCTTAGAGAAATGAACCAGGTTCCATCTTATTGGATTAGTGACTTACCTTTCCAACATGCTCCCCTAGCACCACCATAACCCAGTCTGAATCATTCCGAGGAATCACAGTCTCCAGCATAGATTCATGGATTCCTGTAAAAGAGGTCAAAGCAAGAACCTGCAATCATCTACACCATTACCTGAAATATCACTCTTTTGACATCTACCTGAAAAACCATGTAAAAGAGAATTTCTCAAACATAGTTTCTCTAATTTCCAGTGAAACTGGAAATCTGCCATCATATGGGGATCCTCTTATCCTCCTATGGAGGGGTCCTTATGCAGCACTTTGCATCTCACTTCATTTTCTTCCCAATTATCCAGCTAGTAGATAGATTGGAAGCTTTGGGCCAATTCTTGATAGATGCTCCAATCCAGAACCAGGCTTCCAGAGGAGTGATGTAAAGTATTTTGTGCTAAAAAAATAATTTATACATGTTCTATCTTTACCTACCATGTTTTTTAAAAAGCATTCAGGATTATTCAAAATCAGCTGTCTAAGAATAGAACCAATACAATTATAACTGTAGTACCTAATTTGACTATCAACTGAAATTTGGGTGGGGGAGAATTTTAGTTCCATAACAGAAACATTTAAACAGGGGAAACTGTAAAATAATTGCTTATATTCATTACCACAGCTGGAACTGAAAAACTAGGTATTAAAGTAATTCTGTTACCAAAGAATAGCAAGCATTATAGAAATAGAAACATTGCAAATGCTCACATTCCTATCAATATCTCAAAAAAGCAGATATACTGAAGTTCTGGTAATAACAGTATATTTCATTAATTAACTTGTTGCTTAATTAGGCAAAATGCAGATGATCAATCAGTTCGCTGCCCTACTAAATAAAAAATATTTTGCTAAAAAAGTAAAAATATTATGCATTGAAGGTCTCTTTAAAAAAGCGGTACTATTTAATTATTAATACCTGTATCTGCATATGTCAATACACACAGCATTCTTTATTGTAAGATTTCAAAATGGCTTTAGGATTACAAACACATACTCAAAGAGTAACATTTATCCATAAAAGTATTAAAACAAACTGTTAAAAGCAGAAGAACCCTTAAGTATCCTGAGATCATGGGCAGAGCAGCAAAAGTAAGAGACAAATGCCTTCGCATCCCTCCACCTCTGAAAATAAGGAAGTCCACAGAAGAGTAGACAAACTTAGCATTTGGGCAGGTTGACCTGGGTGCAAATCTTCCTTCAGAAACCTGAGTTCCCACATCATGCATGACCTCCTAAGAAGCACTAGATCCTGCACTGAAGTTGGATGCTTCCCTTCCTAACCAGCAGCCCAAAAATGTTGTTCCCTAACTATCAAAGGACAAGTCTTGAGCTTCGTGAAACACCAGAGTTAAGCAGCAGCTCTAACACACTCACCATCCAGAATCTGTCCCTCTTCTATTTGGCAAACGCATGTGTCTGGCTTGAGGACATCTTCAATTACCATCTGGGGACAAAAACCAACACAGGATGTCATACCTACTGTGTCCAAAGAGCAGGGTCTGATGAGTATTTATACACAGTCTTGGCCTGGAATTGGTGCTCAGTTGCAAATACTCACAGCCTGAAAGGACATAGGCTTCTCCCTGAAAAAACAGGCCTTCAGCTTCTAATAGGGAGAGTCATTAGTTATTCATCTGAAAAATATTCTACCTTCTTATTCTGGCTAGTATTCAAATTTGGTGCCTCTTCCCCATTACCACATTACAATTAGGCTCCAAGAAAAAAAATGCAGCTCTTCAGAGATGGCTCCCTCTTCTCTGAGGGAAAAGGCTTTGGTGAATTCCCCCATTTCTATTGCTTTCAAACTTCCCAAGCAAAATACTGCAAAAGTACGACCTTGAGAGGGATCTTTACCACTGCAGGACAAAGCACTTTTGAGACCATTGCCAGTACATTCTGCACAGATTGTTATTCAGGATATGATGATGCCATGAGGCAAACTGAATGCAAACTGAATGCTGCTGTTCTGGCAAAGATGCAAAGTAACCCGCCATTTTTGCTGCTGCCTTATGAGAATTAGACTGAACAGACTTGACTTCATGGCTCCATCAATTGTCTACATAATAACTTCACTTCTCCTTCACAGCTAAGAAAAGCAGATTATTTTTTTAAAGGCATTTATGGTACAGTTTCAGAAAGTTTTTGAACGACAGAGTTTAAGAGTTGCTATATGTGGTCCTTCCTTATCTTCCCCCACCGGTCTAGATCTGCCTTCACCAATCTGGTGCTCTCCAGATGCAATGGGATTACAACACCCACAATTCCTAGGAAACAGCCATGCTGGATGGAAATTCTAGGAAGCCAGCATATCTGGAATAGGCCAGTTGAGACAGCTGGCTTACTGGCACAGCAATTTATCCTTGTCTTCACTTACACTGTAAAAAATAATTGCATTGCTATAAAATTAGATGTATAGCCTGTACGGTCTAGGTTATTTTCAGATAGTAATACTGTATTAATAGATGCTGAGAAGCAGACTTCTGCAATTACCTTAGTATTATAATATTTGCCCCCTTTGTAGAGCTTATCTATAAAACGGACTCGCAGATCTTGGCGCAACCAGTGAGAAGCTCTGGAAGAAGAACCATCAGCACACTTACTCTGCTTCCCAGTATGGTTGTCTCTGTGGGTACAAGAGAAATTATTTAAAAATTATTAGTTGGAAAGTCATTTAGGCAATCACCTAACTCCTACTCAGTGCAAAGAATTCAGATTAAAGCAACCTGAATGTACACAATCAGATAGTTGCCTATCCTCTGCTTGCCTATATCCAGTGAAGGGAAGCCCAGCACCCCTTTAGGTCAATGATTCTACTGTCAAACTGTCTCCATTGTCATGACGTTTCTTCTAATGTTCAACCAGAAACTGCCTCCTTGTAACTTAAATCCATTATTTCATGTCCTACTCTCTAGAGGGAGAAAAAATAGGTTTTATAATGTCCTTCCAGGGATTTGAAGAGGGCTACCTTATTTCCCAAGTCTAAAGAGACCCAGATCCTTCAAAATCAGTTTATACAGCTCAGTTTCTACTCCCCAATCATTGTTATCTTTTTCTGAAATTCTTCTCATTTTTCTGAATCCTTTTTAAAGTATGATGCCCAGAACTGTCTCTCATTCTACAATGTCTTCCTCCCTCCCTCCTTTTCCATGAACACTCAGAGGCTGTTTCATCTGCAGAGCCTGAAAATGGTTTCTGAGCTCCAATGATGTGATGCAAAGTATCTTCCGTGTCTCCTACTTGCAGCTGTTACTCTCATCCACTGGACTTCTCCATTTAACTGTCTTCCTTAGGGACCATTGCTTCCAATGTCAGTTATTGCAGTAGCACTTCCTTTCTTTGAATTGATAGATCCTGGTCCCTTCTCATTAGCTGAAGTGGGACTGTTTGCTTCTCCAACCCTATGGCTTTTTCTTCAAGGACTGCTATGAGGTTTCATCTGAAGCAAATATATGCCATGTTGTTTCCGGGCAGGAAGACTAATATGTCCTAAGCACTATAACTCACAATTGCAGATTTTTGTCCATTTACTTTCACATTTGCTTCTTAGGGCACCACCGGTTGAAAGGCTTTAATTTTTTTTACTGTTCCCTTTTTATGCTCTCAAGTTAATCAAGCACAAACTCTAGACTTAGAGGGAAACTAGGTTAAGGCTCCTCAACTGAACTGATTTCCTGATAATTCTCCCAGTTTGCTCACTCACTTGCAAGATCTCTCCTCTAAGCTACACCAGCTTACACTGAATCTAAAACAGAAACAAGTAGTGGGATGAGAAGAAATCAAATGGGATTTGCTTAAGAAATGGCAAATATATCTTTTGGAATCAGCATTCTGATCCCCAAAGAATAGGTACTCTTGCATTAATATATACTATATT